CAAACTTCTTACATGGTGGCTTAGATCTTCCAAAAGTACAAAAGTGGAAGCTGCCAGGCTTCTTATGACTTAAGACCCGAACTGGAATAGCATCACTTCTACCACATTTTATTCACTGAAATGAATCAAGGTCCGCCCAGATTCAACATTTGAAGGAACTACACAAAGGCATGAACACCTGCAAGCCAGTTTATTGACAGCCATGTTTGGAGATCAGCTGCCAAGATGCACAATAAATATTTATTAAGTAAGCTTATTTATTAATAACCTTCCACTGTAGCAGACTATATTCTTATTGTGGACACACAATGCTTTAATAAGATTATCACCCTTGTTTTCATTGTGTGCTTACTCAGTTATGTCTGACTCTTTGCAACCCCATGGACTGTAGCCCACCAGGCTCCTTGGTCCATGGAGTTTTCCAAGCCAGATATTGGAGCAGGTTGCCATTTCCTCCTCCATGGGATCTTCCTGGCCCAGAAATCAAAACCACATCTCCTGTGGCTCCTGCATTGGCAGACGGATCCTTTACCACTTAAGCCACCTGGGAAGCCCCTTATTTTCCTTATCAAACAGTATTTACATAGTTATAATTTTCGCACTCTATTCCAAAAAAGGAAAATGAACCAAAAATAAAGCTCTTGGCAGGATTAATAAAGATTTTACTTCAGAGAGTTTGATTCCATATCATTGTTGTAGTTTAAGGAAAATTAAATGTGAGGAAGTATGTTTGATAACAGTAATTAAAAGTATCCCACATAAAAAATTGAAAAATCAGTTATTTGGAAATCAGGACCCAGGTTCTAGTCCTAGTTTTTAATTTTTATTGGAGTATAGTTGATTTACAATGTCGTTTCCATTTCAGATGTGCAGCAAAGTATCTAGCTTTGAAGACCAACACTGACTGAATGTTTGAGTTTGGAAGTCTCTAACTTCAGTTTTCTCAACTGTAAAATGAGATTATGAGAGCTAATAGTTTTCAAACATTTTCTAGCATTTATATCCTTTATTCAAAAGCAGTTGGAGGTAGGGGAAAAAAGGTATGGGGGAGGAGGGATGTGTCCAGCCCTTACTCAGTCAGAGTACTATTATTTTACATACTGAGTTTTCTTTGGAGGACTGCATTTAAACAAATAGTTTTGTAAATAAAATGTATTTGAAAATGAGAGATCTGGCCCAAGTCCCCCATTTTATTTTTTCCCCCATTTTATAGATGAGGAATTTTATAGATTTTGTCCCTTTCCACACCCTTCCCTTTGTCTTCTTCATGCCTCTCATCAGCTCTTGTTCCTTCGGACAACACCCGACCCCGACAGTGGCTCCTTATCCTCAGCTGCCCTACAACCATAGTATTCTGTGTTAAATGATGCCCAACTTTTTTTTTTTCATTTATTTTTATTAGTTGGAGGCTAGTTACTTTACAATATTGTAGTGGTTTTTGCCATACATTGACATGAATCAGCCATGGATTTACACGTGTTCCCCATCCTGATCCCACCTCCCGCCTCCCTCTCCATCCCATCCCTCTGGATCTTCCCAGCGCACCAGTCCTGAGCACCTGTCTCATATGATGCCCAACTTTGTGGAGAATGAGGAATTCAAGATGAAGAACTGCATGGGATGGTGATGTCAAACTCACAAGTTGATGACAGTGATTACTGAGTGAAAAATACAGAGAAGAAAATCTGATTCTAAATTCCTACCCATGTTAATATCTTAGAAGTGGTAATGAGAGAGAATAAGCCAATAAAATATTCTCAAAATCATGCTGTATTATATATGACATCTTGTAGGACACAAGCGTACAATTAAAAAAATTACTTTTCTTAAGTAATAAATGGTATGTTGTTTCCCACAAGAACCCCTGACTAGAGGTTTACATCTGGGAAGTACTTCACTCGCTAGTGTAAAAAATTTTAAGAATGCAGGAACTAACAATGTTCCACTGCTGTCTGATGAGTTCTCTCTGTTCCTTCTGAGACACACAAATAATTGCCAAGTTACATGATCTCACTTTTTCACTCTAATTAAGTAACACTTTATTCTTCCAAATCCTCAAGATATATAATAAAACTGTCTATGCTAAAAGTCATAAATGCACATCTTATGTAATCATCCAACTGTCTACAATACTTTTCAAATATCTTTGTGTTGGAATGCAAACAGCATAACATTTCCTCGTCACTGAAGTCTCCCGGGTCCTGTTAATGCTGCTATAAAGCAAGGATACATACTTTCTCTTAGATTTCATAACAACAAGAATGTGTTCTTATTAACGTGAACCCTTCTTCTACTGAATCTTTAAGATTGGAGACCTCATTAGATCACTGTAAAGGTAATTATTCTTTGCTAAAGAATCAAAGTTCCTAAGACCACAAAAGAGAGCTAAAGAAGATGACGGGAGGTGACTGGCTCTGCATCTTGGTGACCGACCTAAAGTTGCTGTAGGTCAGCAGGACAGGTAGTCGGGAGGAAGAGCTGAGGAGAAACTATGGAGAGCAAGGAAACACCTGTGACAAACTGGAACCGGTGTGGTTTGTTTCTCACCATTCTGCACCTTGATTATGTGGATGACCTGACCTAAGTCTCTCCCCTCAAAACAGCCCAGACCCTGGCCCCTGGCCCAGGACTCAGAAAGCTGAAAGGGATATAGTAGGAGCTGGAGGAGCCCAGAGCCCGGCTGCTGCCCCACCACCCAAAGGCTGCTGTCAACAGCAGTGACAACAAATATGAGTTGCACCTGGGACCCTGCACCGACTATACAGGTTTAAAGGCTCCCATCTAACTGCTGCTCTTCAAATCTCAGGCAGACTTCTCATGTGACCAGTCCTAGCCAGGAGTCATACAGAGAAGAAACTTCTGGAAAACACTCTCAACTTAGCTAAGTTGGCACAGTGCCAAATTACCACAGTGCCCAAAAGTTCTTTCATGTAAGTTGATCCTAAGATGGACTTAAGCCTAAGATGGACTTAAGCCTCTCAAAGTCAACATATGTTCATTCAGTAGTAAAGCCTATGACAATACAGAATTTTAATCAACGTGTTTATTTGAAAATTTTCCTCAAAATGTTTTCCCTAATATTAGAAACATTGCTACCAGCAGAGAGATACTTATTTCGCTCTTACCTGGATACTCATAAATGTAAATCAACATTGAACAACTTATCACTAGCTGATAATTTTTGAAATGGAAAAGGTCCACCTAATACTTCTCCATTTCCACCAAATGACTTTTATCATTTCAGCTCTTCTCATACTACCGTCTTTTTACTACTCCTAGGTCAAAAAGTATTCAAACTCCAAACAGGAGGCCTTCATTCTCCTATGCAACTTGGCTTTTTCTCAGTACCACCAAGTTTATCTATCAGGACTGTATAAATCTGAACTATGACTATGAATATGAATTGACTTCAAGCTCTTTCTCACAGAGCTCTATGTCTCATGCAGATCAGAACAGAGGGTATGTCACCCAGTTCTACATCACTGCAAACTCAACTCAGCTCTAACACTGGCAACAGCCTTAATATATGCTTGAGAGTCCCTACAGATGTCTCTGAACTCATCAAAGAACTCCTCCAGGAAGACAGTCACAAGGTCAGCTTTGCCTAAGGCCTTCTCTTGGCCCCCAGGGACACACTCTGCTATTCAGCAGTGGCTCTGGGCTCCAGAAGGAGTACACCCTTTCCCACTTGCTAGAAGCATTAAGAGTAGTCCCAGGCACTTAAAGGATTTAATGGAACCTTCTGGAAATCACCATCTTTTCAACCGTATTCCACTCTGACAGGAATATCTTCTTAGTAGTGACATCTGTTAATGTTAGCTAACACATCACTATGATATGGCAAAAGGTTATTAAGAACTGGAGTAGAAGACCCAAGTTTTGGTTCTGGCACCAGACCTCTCTAAATCTCACTGTAGAAGGTAAACTTCACCTTATGGTGTATGTGTGTTGGGGCGCGGGGTGGGTGGTGGTGAGTGGAAATGAGATGGAAATTTCCATGTTGTGAAGTGCAAATGAGATAATGGATATCCTATCTTCAACTATTATGAACCTAACCAGTCCATTATCCATGCCATCAACAAGGAAACAGCTTCTCCTTGTATGGGGCCGTACCATTCGGGTGACAGAGTACTGGAGATGACGAGGGTCATTTCACACCACACAGAGCCTTCTGTTCCCTTCTACATAGGCCTGCTGTGGGCCTGCCCCACCAGGCCTTACTCCCACTTACTGTGAGGTGGGAGGTCTGTCACATCTAGGGTGAAGGTTGTTATTCTTTCTCCCTGTCTCTCAGGGTCCCTGCTAGCCCCTCCCTACAGTCCAGCCTTATATTACTCAGGATTATAAGGGCATTGTAATGCCCAAAGATAAATGCAGAAAATGTGTATGTTATGGATATAAATGTCTATTAACATGGAACATGCTTTTCTCCTTCTCTCTAGGTTTTATTTTATGTCACCTATGGTCAACAATTATAATTTTATCCCCAATAATATTCCTAGATAAGATCATATATTTGACTTCATTTTCCCTACTTTTTTTCCCTTAAAGTTATTTTAAGTATTGTTTATAATAAAAGGCAAAAATATAACCAAAACAACTTAATGAAAATTAAACCTAATGTCTGCTATATTTACATTTAAAATGCAGAGAAATAAGTATGTGGAAACTATTTCCATTATCACCTGTAGTTGCTAGATTTATAAAATATTTTGTGCTTGTAGAGACAACTGAAGAACAGTATGCTTCAGTTTCCTCCTTTCTCTTCCTCCACCCTGACCTTGTTCACATCCTTAGCAACCAGACAAAATCAAGTTCAGACTCTGAAGGGCATTTGATCAGTAGGTTACACACAATCAAAAATATCAACTTTTATTTTAAAATATTAAACTTACTACAGGCTGATCAAGAAAGATCAAATATGAATTCTTTAAACATGTAGTATTTGAAATTGGAAAATTTTGGTTTATAATTAATAATTTTTAAGTTGCAAGAACATTTCATGAAGATGTTGCCCGTTTCAAATACTCAATAAGATCTTCTCTCTCACTCTTCTTTTTAAGACCAGCAAAGATCATTTTAGTTCCAGGGATATATTTCTTTGGGTTCTCCAAATATTCCATCAGAGTCTGCTCTCCCCAGATAATGCCTATAAAGGTGAAAATAAGTTTTAAGTTTGCATAATTACATTTATAAAACTTACTTACTGATGTGATCTACATTTGTGCACAAAAGCTTACTTTTGGACTCAATAGAAGGCTATTATAACCGAAAATACTTATAGTTTCTGACCTACAAGAAAATTCCAAAATTAGCCTTTGATGATCTACTGTTTGGGTTTCTTATAGAAATCCAATGCTGTTTAAGATTATCTAAGGTACACCAATGAACCACCAACCGAGACATGTTGTGCCTAAGCAGTATGCCATCCTCCTAGAGTTACAGAGTTCATTCTAGAAAAGATCTTAGAGATCAATTAACCCAAATCCTCATTTTTCAGATAAGTAAATGATGACCCAAAGAAAGGATAATAACTTACCTTAAGATGACAAGGCTACACAGAATCAAGAATCTGTGACTAGTAACTCATATTTCCATGTTTGGGGTGGGGGGTTGGTTGGTTGGTTTTTTACCAATCATAGCAAGCTGCCTCTGTCTAGATCTCTACCAAAAACTTAATGACTTCAGGAATCCAGTTTTAAAACCAGAGAAAAAGGTTGCCTCTAACTTTTTTCCTTTCTGAAACCAGTTGAAAAGAACATGAACAAAGAGAAATAGGAATGCTAATTCTACTTTTAATAAAATTCTCAAGGGAGTGCCTCTATCACCAAATTTGATACAATTAGAAAACTACCAGGGACATAAAACCTGGACCAGAGTGAAAGGACACTTGTCATTAATTTCAAGACAAAAGTTCTCCAGAACAGGTGACAAATCCTAAGGGGCAGAGCCATAACCCTCTGGCCCAAAAAGAGTGTAGTATATATCGACTGGCTTTGAAAGTCTAAATTCAGTTTGATATCATGGAGGGCCAGAGGAGCCAGGATTAAAGAAGAAAACACATCTTTAAAAGAAAAGCTCTACCTTGTTACAGGATAGAAGAGAAAGGTACTGGGTAACCCTGGAACTACCAGACTTGGTCAGCTGAAGAGCCAAATAACCCCCAGCCAACATTCACACATACATATATCTCTAAAACATAACTCTGGGTAAGGAAGACTTCATAACCAACTGGAAAGCTCAGACCCTCACTCTTACTGACCTTCTGCAAATACCCATCCTGATGAATCATCCTCATCAAAAGATGAGTAGTAATCAAAAAGGAATCAGCAAGAAAGAGTACTAAAAACACAAACACACAACATGCACACACATAGCAGAAAAAAATACAAAACCCAAAAGATAAATGAAATATACACATCAGAAATTATCAGAAAAATCATGACCACATTCCCATGGATTCAAAAAAGATCTTTACAAATAAAAGGTTTACAGCAGAGCTACAAAGGGTCAAGGAGAAAATGATAAACTGGAAGGTATAAATGACAGTGAAAAGAATAGATATTGCTGATAGCACACTCAGGCTTGAAAGTATTGATATGAAAAAAAAATAAAAAGTTTAAAACAGTCAAAGGAAAAATAAGTTATAGAAGATATGTAGACAAAAAATATCCCAAATATATACAACTGATGCCCCAAGTAATATTTCTTTAAAAAGCAAATAAAAAGTATAAAAATTTTAAAACATGTAGTACAAGAAAACTTTCAAAAATAAAAGTTCTGAGTCTACCAACTGAAAGAACACATATCCCAGGAAAATCTGAAACAGATGAATCAAGGCTTACACACAACTCAATAAGTTACTAAATTTTAATAAGAATTTTACTGAAACTTAGGGGGGAAAGAATGAAATAAAAATAAAACCAATTAGCTTATAATGGAAAACAGTCAGGCTGGCTTCAGATTTCTTCAAAGAATAATTCAACACAAAGCATACAAAATCTTGAGGAACTAAAAGAATCATTCAATTATTTTATGTCTAGCCAAAATATTCAAGTGTAACAGGAATCCATGGATGCTTTCAAACATTAAGAACTAAGATAATATGGCCCCAGTAATTCTTTCTTAGCATAACTACTGATAGATAACCTTCTACCAATCAAAAGATAAATACAGACACTGTGGTAAAAGCTGAGAATAAGTGCTAATCCAATCTAAACGCAGGACAAGGGTTAAAGCAACTATGGTCATTATAATCACATAGGATGTAAATTACATATATCATGTCAGGGCAGAAATAAAAACATAAGTAGCAAGAGTTAAGAGACAGTATGGAAAAAATGGGAGGTTGTACAACCTCCCATTGATTGATTGATTTTCTCATCCTCCAGAGTGAAGAATAGACATATTATTTTAAGTAGTTAAATAATAGAGGCATGTGATATAACTTAAAGTATGACTATGACCACTAAAATTATGAAGATGATTACCATATGAAATTAGTTGGTGAAGGAAAAGGAATAGGGGAGGACAGGAAGACATGAACATCACTTACATGGTGAATATCCTGTTGAACTATTTGAATGTTCAGATAGTCTAAATGATTTCAAACTATTTATTAAATTATTAGTACATTTATGATTTTATATGTCCTATTGTCTCTTTATGATAAAAGGAAAAAGATTAATCTCTAATAATAAGTTAGTTTAGCTAATATGTTAACCCCATGATATGACTTCATTGAAGGTCCAAGAAGAACTGAGTTTGAATCTGAGTTATATCACTCAATGGCACAGAATCCTAGGCAAATCATGAGTTAATTTATTTCTAAAATTTACTCAATTATCATTGCCCCCCCAAAAATATTATTTTGACAATAGTAATTCTTATCAAGTCTGTCTTTGATCAAGCTGTGCTAAAGTATTTTTCAAATCTTTATTTTATTCTAAATAACATTATTTTAAAACCCTGTTAAGTTTTACCAGCTTCAGTGAGATATAATTGATGTATAACATTCCCTAAGTTTAAGGTGTACAGTATGTTGATTTGATACATTTATATATTGGGTTTTCATTACCACCATAGCAAGAGCGAAAAACTCCACCCCATCACATAATTGCCATTGCTTTTTTATAGTAAGAACATTTAAGATATACTCTCTTAGCAACTCTCAAGTATATAATACAGGATTATTAGCTATAATCACCATGTTATACATTAGATCCTCCGAACCTGTTAATCTTGTAGCTGGAAATTTGTACCCTTTGACGAGTATCTCTCCATTACCCTAACTCCTCACCCCAGTCACTACTATTCTACTCTCTATTTTTCTAAGCTTGGCTTTTCCAGATTCCACATGTAAGTGATATTATACAGGATTTGCTTTCTCTGTCTGACTTATTTCACTTAGCATGTGATGCCCTCGAGATTCATCCAAGTTGTTGCAAATAGCAGGATTTCCTTCTTTCTCGTGGCTGCATAGTATTCTATTGTGTATAAATAGCACATCTTCATTCATCCATTGATGGACTCTAGGTCATTTCAGTATCTTGGCTATTGTAAATAATGCTATAATGAACATGGTGATATAGATACCTCTTCAAGGTTCTATTTTCATTTCCTTTGGATGTATACCCAGGAGTGGGATTACTGGATCATATGGTAGTTGTACTTTTAACTTTTTGAGGAAATTATATACTGTTTTCCACAGTGGCTGCATCAATTTCCATTCCCACCAACAGTGCAAAGGGTTCTCTTTTCTCCACATCCCTGCCAATAATTGTTATTTCCTGTCTTTTGATAACAGCCACTCTAAAGGTGTGAGGTGACAATCTCATTTGCATTACTGGGTTACTAATGATGGCCACCTTTTCATGTATCTGTTGGCCATCTGTGTATCTTCTTTGGGAAAATATCTATTCTGTTCCTCTGTAAATTTTTTAATTTGGCTGTTTGGTTTTCTCTCTATTGAGTTGTAGGGGTTCTTTATATATTTTGGATTTTAGCCCCTTATTAGATACATGGCTTGTAAACATGCGCTCCCACTCAGCAGGGGGCCTTGTAATCTTGTTGACTGTCCCATTTGATGCTCAGAAGCTTTTCAATTTGATATGCTGTGCTGTGCTTAGTCGCTCAGTTGTGTCCAACTCTTTGCGACCCCATGGCCTATAGCCCACGAGGCTCCTCTGTCCATGGGGATTCTCCAGGCAAGAATACTGGAGTGGGTTACCATGCCCGCCTCCAGGGGCTCTTCCCAACCTAGGGATCAAACCCAGGCCTCCTACATTGCAGGCAGATTATTTACCAGCTGAGCCACCAGAGAAGCCCAAGAATACTGGAGTGGGCAACCTGTCCCTTCTCCAGGGGAACTTCCCAACCCAGGAATCAAACCAGGGTCTCCTGCATTGCAGTGGCTTCTTTACCAGCCAAGCTACCAGGGAAGACCTTAGTTTGACATAGTCTCACTTATTTTTGCTCTTCTTGCTTGTGCCGTTGGTGTCATATCCAGAAAACCACTGTCAAGACCAATGTAGAAGTGTTTTCCCCTATGTTTTCTTCTAGGAGTTTTATGGTTTCCAGTCTTATGTTTAAATCTTTAATGCATTTCAAATTATTTTTTGTCAGTAATATACAATAGAGTCCAATTTCATTCTGCTACTTATCATTCTTATTTCATTAGTAAAACTAACAAATACTTATATTATATGCCCAAATAAGTTACAAATACCACTTAAACAATCTCACTCAGGAAAATTTTATTTATAATTGTTAAATAATGTTAAAGCCAAGCCTTGTAAGCCTTTTATCTTTGACAATAGCCTATAATAAAAGATATATTTGTAATAAATTTTAACATGATTTCAAATCAATATTAATAATCAAAGAAAATCTTCAAAATATTGGCAACTAGAGGGACAATAATAACTGTTCTAAAAATCAGGACTTTAAAAGTTGACTGTTCTTATAAGAGGATAATAAAATAAAGACACTATAGAAAAATATTACTTGAAAAGTTAAAGAGCCATATAAATGCAAACAATAAATGCAAGTTTAAGACCTACTGTAATAAATGCAATTCAATTCTCACACTAACTGTCTAGAGTTAGCACAGACTGAAGTTTCCAACAAGACTGCCTCACTTGATTCCTT